CTATCCCATGGGCTAGTGGTAGGGTATTGAATTTTAAACCCACAAAGTAGTGTTAATATTGGAATTGGTGCAGCTTGTTTAAAAATTATTTTTGGCAAAGGCTATACAAGTATAATTGTATTAATTAACGAACCCTTAAAAATTAACTGGGGCTGTTCCAAAATGGGTTGTTTTCTTTTGTACTGCAGAGCTGTATTTGGTAATCCCATGGGCTAGTGGTAGGGTATTGAATTTTAAACCCACAAAGTAGTGTTAATATTGGAATTGGTGCAGCTTGTTTAAAAATTATTTTTGGCAAAGGCTATACAAGTATAATTGTATTAATTAACGAACCCTTAAAAATTAACTGGGGCTGTTCCAAAATGGGTTGTTTTCTTTTGTACTGCAGAGCTGTATTTGGTAAATTGTCAAACTTAGTGGTTTTGTCAGCAGAGAAACGCCACAATACCTGCATTAGCCCCAGACCAGCTGCAAGAGGGTAGCACTGCTGAACAAGTCTGACTAGTGCAGCAACTCTCCCTCTCCCAGCCCTCCCCCACTCTTGCATGGAATTTTGGTGTAGATTGTAGCTCTTTTAAAAAAAAATGAATTACAGTAAGTGAATATTGAATGACTGAAGCATGGTAATGAGACACAGCCTCTCACCTCTGAATCCAATCCAAATTGGGACTGATCTGACTGAAGTCATTATTATCTGACAGCTGTTTACTGCCCGATATGAAACTACCTGGACGTTAGAGCCAGGTGTTGGGGTTTTTTTAAGGACAGATGTTGGTCTCACCAGAGAGGGCATGAACTGAAAGGACACAGATACAAAACTAATGTCTTTGCCCTTAGAATCTTGAGCTTTCATGGGCAAAACCCACTTAAGCTCATGATTCCATATATTTTGGTTAGTCTGTAAGGTACCACAGGACTACGTGTTGTTTTTAAAAGTTACAGACTAACACGGCTTCCCCTCTGAAATTGTTTTCCACACTTAAAGGCTACGTCTACACTGCAGGCTTCTTGTGTAAGAACTTTTTTGCGCAAGAGTTCTTGCGCAAGAGCGCGTCCACGCTGCCATGTGCTTTTTGCGTAAGAGATGTGCTTTTGCACAGGAGCGTCCATGACAGTGTGGATGCTTTCTTGCACAAGAAACCCCTGTTGCCAGTCCACACATGCCTTTTTGAACAAGAGCTCTTGCACAAAAAGGCTTATTCCTTGTAGAAAGAAGAATAACTCTTGAGCAAAAAGCCCTGTGTTCTTACGATTTCATATACTTCTTCTTCCACAAGAACACGCTTGTATTGTGGATGCTCTGTGAGCTTTTGCACAAAAATGGCTGTTTTTGTGCAAAAACTCTGCAGTGTAGACGTAGCCTTAAAGGTGGTCCTGTTAATATAATTGAGGTGCAGTGTGGAGTAGTTTGCATTAGCACAGTCCAGGTAATCTCAGTTCTCAGGGTAAACAAAAACTTGCAGTGTTTAATGTTATTATTCTGTAGGAATTCTTAGATACTAAGACACATCCTGCCAGGTGCTGAGCACCCTCCTCCCCCATTGAATCCCTCTTCCTGGTAACACTCTCAGAAGATACTAAATAGCATACAGAAGGGGAGATGTTCTTATTAAAAATCTAGCCAGAAGCTGGTATGATATGCATAGGGTTAGAAATCAGCAGGGCTTGACAAACGGCTGCAAAACCTACTTGCCAGTTCCACACTGTGCATACGCAAGACCTGCATTGCGCATGCGCACGCCGCCGGTGAACAGGGCGACCAGCTGAAATCTACTTGCCACAGGCGAGTAGATTCAGTGATTTGTCGAGCCCTAATCAGTTTATATGGATTCTATTTAGAGAATAGACTTCTGGGCTAATTCCCCTCTCTGTTGTTCCAGGTTTATGCAGTTGTAAATCCACTGATATCAGAAGAGGTACACTGATGTAAAATGGCTGGAATTGTAAGGTGCATCTACACTGAACCTGTAGCTCGAAATAAGCTACGCAATTTGAGCTACACAATTGCATAGCTTATTTCGAGTCAATTTCAAAACAGCTTATTTTGAAATTTGGCGCTGTCTACACAGCACTTATCTTGAAATAAGTCACTATTCTGAAATGTCCCTTACTCCTCGTGAGGTTTATAGGGATGCTGGAATAGCATGCCTGTTATATTTCAAAATAATGGGTGCACTCAAAATATGCAGAATAGCTATTTTGGGATACCTACCATATCCCGAAATAGGCTACATCTATACTGTAAAGCTAAGTGGGAAATCAGATCTTAGTTGTGTGTAACCATAGGAGGATCCCCTAACCTTTCTAAGTCTCCATTTCTGTATATGTAAAATGGGGCTAATTATGCTTGCCTGTTTCTCGGGATGTATTCATTAGCCTTTGGAAGGTGTTTTGTATAAAAGGATGGGCTTAATTTTGAGTGTGATTTTGTTTTATGGGCTCCCATTAACTCCACTAGACTTTGGATCAGGCTCTATATGAGATACTGCTTTTCTAATTCCAAAGTATATTTGTAGTATTCTACCTTTAAAAAGCTACTCAAGTCAGAAAGTCTTAGAGGGTAGCCATGTTAGTCTGTAAGGTGCCACAGGACTACTTGTTTTTAAAGTTAGAGACACACACACATATATAATTAGTATCATGACCTTTTTTCATGGGCAAAACCCACTTCTTCAGATGAGCTTGAGTGGAAGGTGTGAGTTACCTTATGCAGTTGATTGATTTCTATTCATCTGAAGAAGTGGGTTTTGCCTACAAAAGCTCGTGATGCAATATGTATTTTGTTAGTCTGTAAGGTGCCACAGGACTACCCTTTTTTTAACTCAGAAAGGAGCGTTCTATCAGTTATGCAAATACAACCACCAGAATTATGTGAATGGAGTGAAGCAATAGACTAAGTAGAGTATTTATATGCCATCTACAGTAGACTTCCGATAATCCGGAATCTATGGGACCTAGGTGGTGCCGGATTATCAGATATGCCGGATTATCAGGAAGTACTATAAAATGGTTATATATATACACACTGTATACATTATATACTATATATAAAGTATTCTTAACCCTTCTTATTGTACATTCTGTATACAGTAATGTTTTAGGTTTTTTAAGCCTTTTTTACCCTTTTTGCTCAGTTCAGCTGCTGCCGCTGTTACCTTGTAACTCATTTTTTTGCCGAAGCTCACTCACTAGGCTCTTGCCATTTTGATGCCGGACTATCAGGAGTGCCGGACTATTGGATGCCGGACTATTGGAGTTTTACTGTACTATGAAGTATTCCTATTAGACACAAACCTGGGACTAAACTCCCTGAATGGGATTATCCCAAACAACAGTTGATGTTAGATGTAACGAGTGAGGGTGAAAAACTGGCTGTGTTGGAGCCAATGGTAGTTGTTCCATTAAGTGGTTTTTTTTTTTTTTTTTTGTAAAATTGTGCATGTTCTAGTATATAAGATACAGCAAAACAGAGATGTGCTCCCTCTGAAGTTTAAAAAACTGTATAGATTAAGCATGATGTACAGTAAGGAGCGAGGTCTAAAAATATCAGCCAGCTTTTACTCATGAAACATTATCTCCTGTCCTTGCTTTGCTCTGCCTTGACATTTAGCATAATTATTTTTCCAGCAGGTGGAATTATCCTTATTGAAATAAACTGAGTCTTTACTCACCTAAAACTTTGTCTATGCATTGTAAGTAACATGCTTACAGTTCTTTGAGTGCCAACACAGAACATATCCAGACAAAACATTTTTGGATTTAAACGGAAAATGTGTGTCTCATATTATACCTTCAATCTGGCAAAGCTCTCTTACTCCTACTCTTCTGCACTGTTGATTTTAGTCCACATATTTTATATAATGTAAAATTAGTAATGGACTTTCTTTTTCTTTTAGGTTTTACTTCTTGGATATTAAGTTGAACATCAGAAGATATGGCCTTTCTAGCAGTCTACCTTTTGATTGGGATGTTTATTTACTCTAGCCCTGTAAAAGGATCTTCACAGCCTCAGCCCAGGGTGTTCTTAACATTCAATGGTAAGGAAGCAGATCAACATGCTTGAGCAAATGTTATTGTATAACACTTTCTTCTTTTCATCCAATCCAATAACCAAGTAATAACTAAGAGATGGCTTCTAAATATGTGTCCACATAAATGTTTTTTTTAAATTATTTGTAGTGCCTAAGAGCCAAATGCTGAGGTTAACTTTTACATGGAGGCTACTATTAGCTGTAATTACAGGAACAAATACATGGGATTTGTTTTCTTTTTAAGTGTCTGTCATTATGGCTTAGGCAGAATTAAGGCATTCTCCCTTATTTTTTTTTTTTTTGTATTTTAAAAGTAATTATTGTAGTGCATGACCAACAATTGCAAAATAGATCAGTAATTTTGATTGCCTCCATTTTTTTGGTGTTCATATAGAGATACCTTTACGGAGATTTCAGAAATGACTGAGGAGTCACCCTCTGAAAATCAGGCCTTTTTAACGGATATTAATTTGGGCATCAAACATCACCTGTCATTTTAAACACTTATGTTTTATGTGTGTATTGTATACAAACTACTATTAAGTAGTGTGCATGCTTAGGAATTTTAAATTCTCATGGAATCAAAGTACTGATGCCCGTATTTTGTAAACGGACGACAAACATGCTTTTTTTCAAAATATATGCACAGTTCACATCTAAGACTCTTTGTCACAATAGGGATATAAATGTTTTAAACCTCTGAATTTAATTGCAAAACTGGACTTCTTTCACATTGGCTGTTAGCATTTATGGTGGTGATTCTATGTACTGATTTAGTAATTTTTCCCTTCTATGTATTTGTATGAGAATTTCCTAGAGGCTTTGACAAATGCTGTGCTTAAATGAAAAGAATCTAATGCTGCAAAATATACTTTGGATTGATGTTTTCTGCATATGCTGTTTCCAAGGCCTGAATGGAAATTTGTGAGATTACACATTTCATGAAATTTAGAAGGAATTCAACCCTCAGGCCAAACCATTTTGCCAGATGTGTCTATCAACCCACCGTCCAAACCACTTGCAAGTGTGACTAACTCATCTAACCCATATTAAAGAAATACAAGAAGATTAAGTGGGAAAGGCCACTCAGCCAGTCAGGAGCTATTTGTGTTTTTATGACTGATTCCATTTATTCTATTACTGCTTCAATCACCCAAATGTCTGGAAAGCTGGTGCACTTGCTTTATTATTCTTTGTCTGAAACTTCAATATCAGTCACCTCTCCAGATACATGTGGCCTCTGGGCTTATAAAGTCTCTTGAATTAATATTATTAACTATTTGGTACTTAATAGTCAGATCCCTCAGCCCTATACAAAAGCTGGGCTTGGTCTGTCTTTGAATCACATGGAGCGGATCCTGCCTGCACTGGTCTCCTGGAGCCCGGCTGGCAGGTCTTGACACTTGAAGATTTCCCCCATGCAGTGAAATCCTTGGGTAGCATCGAGTCACCTTAGTGATTCCTACACTGCCTTTCTAGCAGGACTTCGGTGCAGTGGATAGGGCATGGAAACAGTGTGTGAGACCAGGGTGTCCCTAGCATAGTTAGGATAGCCCCAAGGTGGCTGTAAGTTGCTCCCAGGGATCAACCTGGGGACCTCAATTGCCAGTGGGCTGCATAGTGACTTTAAGCCTCTCTTCTCCACTGGGCAATGATAAATTCACAAGGGATAGATCAAAGAATCTGGCCTTTTGTTTTTATAGTGTCCTTCTTTTCTTCACAAGAGGTAGAAAAGTGGGACTACCAGGACTCTCTATCCCACTCTATTTTTTCTACATACCCAAAGATGGTGATAACCCTATTTCTGGTGGCAGATTTCCCTCCGCTCCCCCCCCCCCCCCCCATCCAGAGAAACACATGGTAAATATTAAGAATAATGAATGTCTTTTCCATCTCTGATTGTCTAAACGCCACCCTGGAAAAACAGTGTTGAGGCAAATTCTACACTTAAGAGATCATTTTCATTTCTAATTTCTGTGATTCAAAGATTTAAGGGTAGCAGCTCTAGTATATCAGGCAAGGTATTTTTGGAAAGAAGCCCCCACAAAGAGGAATGATTGCAACGTATTGTGTTCAGTACCTATTACTGTACAATGCACAATGGGCTGGGTCCTCGGCAGGTGTAAATTGATATTGACATTAAGGTAACTATTTTGGGGCTTAGACTCAGTGGCCATCTGGGAGAGCAGAAGATGTTGAAGCTTTTGAGTCAGTATTCTGCAGTACTGAGTCTAGCCTCTCTAGCAACCTCTAATTCCAGACTCCATCTGGGCAGAGGCAAAGTCTGTTATGAATATGTATTGCTGCTCTAGCCAGAACCATAAAAGGCTTATACAAACCAGATCACAATATTTGTCACATGAAATAGCACAGAGAATTAGCCTAGCTGTCCTTAATTTGAGAACACTAAAGAGGGTGTCTTGGTTAAACAGGTATTATCACTTCAATATCTGAACTGGACAAACTAACAAGCACAGGAGGAATAGTCTTCTCATTTGGATGTTGGCCTGAGTCTCAGAAAACCTGTGTTCTGTTTGCCACAGTTGTCTTAAATTTAGCACAATTTTTGCAGAGTAAAGAGTATTGCCATCTCCCCTTTGTATTGGACTAGATTCTGCTACTCTTACATATGGGCTGTGTCTACACTGGGCCACTTATTCCGGAAAATCAGCCGCTTTTCCGGAATAAGCTGCGAGCTGTCTACACTGGCCCTTGAATTTCCGGAAAAGCAACGATGCTCTACTGTACAAAATCAGCCGCTATTCCGGAAAAACTATTATTCCGGAACAGTGTTCTGGAAAAGGGCCAGTGTAGACAGCCCAGTAGTCTTTTCCGGAAAAGCGCGTCTAGATTAGCCACAGATGCTTTTCTGGAAAAAGGGCTTTTCCGGAAAAGCAGCCTGCCAATGTAGACGCTCTTTTTCCGGAAATACTTATAACAAAAACTATTCTGTTTTAAGCATTTCTGGAAATTCATGCCAGTGTAGACACAGACAAATAGTCCTTTACTCTATATAGTGTGAATAACAGTGCCAGCCTCTACCCTTCAGAGAAGAAAGGTAGTGGAGTACTCATGATATCGTGACTGTGTTTAAATGGACTGACCTAATCACTTCCTCTCAGTGCCTCAATGCACAGTCATAGTCATTGGTTTCCTCTGAACATGCTGAGTTTTGCACATCAAAATGTGAAGCCTAGAGCAATATTCTTTTGTTTTTAATACAATATGTTTTGAATTCCTCCCTTTTAAACAACTCTTCGTGATCTCTGAAGTAAATTTATATTATATATATGTTTATACAAATATATGTATAAAATTATACATATATATTTGGCATTAGCTGAAGCTCTCCCAGTGAAATGAAAACACTAAGTTTAATTTGTATTAAGTTTGCTTTCCAGATGGTCAAAAGAACTTTGGGATGTGAAAAGAGATTTCCTAGTTTGCTGTGTTTACAGTACAATGGGGCCACTATTGTCCGCAATTCTGATAGAAAAAGGTGAAATATGATGCTGTTTACTTTTCAAAGGTGACAATGGCACTTTTCAGCTTCAGTGTACTTCCATTCTCTTTAATAATAATCTCTTTACCATAAGATATTGCATGCAAGAATTATTGATGTTTAGAAAAATGATTCTCATTTTCTTTTAATAAATGGATATTATGAAAATGTAACTTTTTGTATACCATATGGTTTAAACACAATGAAATTAGACAACAATAAGTCAAATAGTTCCTCCTAATGTGATATTATTCATATTTTGGATTGGATTCATGTGTTACTATTTTACCAGTAAATACAGAAATTTAAAAAAATGTAACCAGGAGAAGAAAAAAAAAAAAAGCATGATGCATTTTAAAGCTGACATCTTTTAGGAACAAGTCCCTTGATGTTTGCATAATAGCATCTGACATAGGGGAATCCAGTCGGCAACTTGACCCATTCCGTTTTTAATCGGGAATGATAAAGATCTGAAATGACTTAATCATTAGTTGCTTTCATTCCTTGTCATGCATTGCATCAAGAAGGAACAGTAATTAAAAGTAAACCGCTTTAATATTTTGAGGGCCTGATAATAGGAGTTTTGCAATTAATTTCAATGGGAGCAGGATTTAACTCTTAATTTATATTTTTGAGATTAGTGATGTGTCTGCTTTTCTATTTAAAAATACAGTTTGTTACTCATTTTCTATCGTTAAATGTTTATTTGACATTAGTGTGGAATTTAGCATTGCCTGTGCCTTAAGAATTTGAGTATCATGTATGCATTATGGATCTGATTTCCCAATGCCTTGCATCTTGTACCATCATTTATATCTGTACAATAATTATGTTTAGGAATTCATTAATCTGAGTTTATCATCATCTCATTGTTCTGTTAGTTGTAGTGGCCAGATCCTCTGCTTCACCGCTTTTATACTCAGCAGAGCTGAGAAGAGGATGGGGGAGAAGGGAAGAAAGCTAGCTTTAAGCTCCGCTAATTCTGGATCAGCAGTGGGTGGGATGGAGGGAAAAAACACCAGGATATTTGAGCATACGAAATCTATACAATTTAGCACAAGCATACTATCTGTAATTACCTCATGGAATAATGATACCAAGCCCTGCAGCTTCTGAACCTACCAATATATATACCTGAGCACTCACATTCCTGAGTGCTCCTACCAGGTTGGGGAAAATAAGATTTTTGGGGCCCAATCCTACAGTCCTCTCATGGGTAAAGCTCTTCTTGAAGCCAGAGAATGCAAGATCAGGCCACAGGGTAGCACAAGCTTTGCTTTGGTTTCAATTCACCTACAATTCAAGTATGGAGTTTAATGTGCTTCCAAACCATGCATGATGCCTTTGTTCTGTAGAGGTATGTCTACACTGCACCGTAGGTCGAAATAAGATATGAAATTTGAGCTACGCAAATTACATATCTTATTTCAATGTTATTTCAAAATAGCTTATTTTGAAATTTGGTGCTGTCTACACAGCACCTAGGTTGAAATAAATCGCTATT